GATAAAACCACTTCTAGGCTGAAGGGTAGGTTAACCCCAACCCAGTTAGACATGTTTAGGCAAACGTGTTTCGGTCCCATTTTGGACATGGACGTAGTTTTTAACGGTCCATTAATCATCATCTATTGTTAAGAGAGGTTGAAGAGCCTAGGCAGGACATCATTAGTTTCGACCTGTTTGGGAAAAGGGTCTCCTTTGGTAAGCGGGAGTTTGACCTAATCACCGGCCTCAGTCATAGGATGATTAGGGTAGATAACGATATTCCTTGCCGACGACTTCGAGCACGTTACTTTAAGGATAGTGTCAGGGTTAAGTGTAGTGAGTTAGAGAAGATTTTTATGGAGGCAGTTTTCGACAATGATGAGGATGCTGTCAAGGTTGGCATAGTTTACTTCGTCGAGCTTGCCATGATGGGGAAGGAGAGGAAGCAGTTTATAGATACGTCCCTTTTAGGGGTTGTAGATAGGTGGGAGCTGTTCTGCAATCACCACTGGAGTTCGTTGATTTTCGAAAGAAAACTTTGGAGCCTGAAGAATTCCCTGAAGGATAAACTATCGGCGTACCAACAGAAGGCGAGAAATGACCCCACACACCAAGAGACTTATAGTCTCTACGGGTTTCCGTACGCATTTCAGGTTAGCGAGCTTTAAGTCAACTATATAATCGTATATATTATTTAAATGCATTATTTATTTGACTTCACTGGATTCTAGGTATGGGCTTACGAGACGATATCGACATTGAGTCTGCGCGTAGCCACGAGGCTGAGCGACGACGCCATTCCTCGACTTCTTAGGTGGTCGTGCACTTATTCTTGTGGGTTTCTTACTCTACAGAGAGACGTGTTCGATAACACGATGGTAAGTAATTATTCGTAGTACTATATTCGTCAATATGTTACTATATTCGTAGTACTATATTCGTCAATATGTTTGATTAGATCAATGTGGATTGGTTAAATGTAACAGGTACTTGATGGTCTCGTCCTATTTACAACGAAAAAGTTGGAGAAGTGTCTCCATCTATGTCGCAAGAAGTTTGCGATAGGCGACGTACTTCTTTCGGTAATTACTTTTTACTTCTTCCGATTCGAACTAATAAATGTTGTTTTRAWCAATTSTTTAACTAATGAATTACTTTTTAACTGCTATACAGACTCTGCTGAATCGGACAGAYGGTCCATATGYGGCCATGAAGYCRGRTGTATTGTCCACTAGGATCAACTACCCCTGGCGCGAGGAGAATACAATCTGGCGATATGTCCACGGTAGGCAGTCGGACCACAACGTGCCCTGGAGTGATGCAGACATCGTGTACACCCCCATGAACGTAGGCGGGAA